ATTGACACATCTCTTAATAGGATTCAACTACGGGAAAGGCATGATACTAGGTAAACTTACGGCCAATCAACCAGTATCATAAAAGAGATGACCAATCTGGTGCTATTCGATATGGTGCTTTGCTTGGTCAAAGTTCTTCCAGTGCCATGTTTTTCTGGTATCATGGATTTTCCCCTCTTAAAATTCCCTTTCTAATACTCTATATGTCCGATACTTTGAAGAAAATAAATTTAAATTAATGGCTTAAATGCAAAAGCTAATGAAAGAGAATTGAAGTTAATGAAGGAGAATTGGAGTTAATAAAAAAAAAAAGACAACTTCGAATTCAAATTCATGATAAAAAAAAAAATGTATTACTTCATTACATAGTCATGGCATTAGAAGTTAAGTAGCGGTGACCCGTGCGATGCACGGGATGTTGTTGTAGACATTAAAATTTTTATGGGCTCTACCCCCATAAACTCAAATTTTCTCACGGGCCTTAGTATGGGTCATTCAATTTGGACCATACCCCATGCTCTCAAATACCTATTACAAATCCATTAGCATGGTGGAAGGGTCCATGTGGAACCCACTTTGAAGTCAAACTAAAATTCAAATTCAAATTTAAATTATAAATCTTATTGATTTTTGGAAATAATCCAACTAGAACCCATCTCAAGTCCCAAAGATGGAAATCTAGTCAATAATTAAAGAGAATAATTGATTAAAAATCATCCTCTCCACAAATGGTAAATTGCCCATAGATGGAATTTATCCAATGATTGAAGAGAGAATAATAGATGATAAATTATTCTCTCTAAGAATTGTAGTAATTACAACCTTTCACTTTCTAAAAAGAGTAAGGAGAGCTAATCAAATTTTTAATTAAGGGGATTAAGAGATTAGACTAGGAGATCTATAAATAGGGATTCTCATCAAGAGGGAGGGAACTTTTAGAGAGTCAAGGATAAACTAAGTGAAGTTAGAAATCTCTTGGAGAAGGAGGAAACACATCCACAACTTTTTGAAAAGCATAGATACAACACACTCAGAGTACTTGCAAAATCCTTCTTTTGATCAAACTTTCAAAGCCCAATTGAAGGAAGCAATCTCCATCACTGTCTTAAGTATGGGAGCACATCATCTGATCCTCGGCTTCAACTCAAATCTAAATCTTCAAGTTGCAAGAAGTACATCATCAAGAGAGAATTAGAGGTTCTATCTCTTTTGTAAGAGAATTCAAATCCAAAGAGTTTGTATCCCATTTATTTCAAATATATATAAAAAATGAATTTATTTGAATTTGTCTTCATTTTCTTGTATTTGGATTTATACACAATTTGTGTCAATAATTGTATTTCTACTTTTTTACATGTAGAATAATAGAAAAAAAAATTCTTTTCTTTTTTAGCTATTGAGCTTCAAGCATTAAGCTCTTTCTTATTACATTTTATTATTGAACAAGGACAATTCATTAAACAAATCTACATAAATTAAATTAATATAAACAAAGGGAAAACATAAAGCCATGGAGCAAAAATAAAGGGAAAAACCTAATAACCCGAGGAAAGGAGCAATGATTTGTTTAGATTGATTCACCTAATGTAGTGGTGGGCAAATTTGGGTTTTTAAACATTAATTTGGGTCCAAGATAAGGTTCATATTTAGGTTGACCCTTAACCCAACCCATCTAATTTACACCCTACTTTATTAGAGAGAGCCAAAGGGATTAAGAGATATTTAAGAGGAAAGTAAGGATTTAATGGGGAGAGGAGATATTACAAAAATTGACTATTAAGGTGTGTGTGAGAGAGAGAGAGAGGGGGAGAGAGAGATTTACTAGAGAGTAAAGATGGATTTTATGAGAGACAATAAGGACTTGTGAGGTTTTCAATAATTTAATATAAAAATAAATAAGCACATGTGTGAGAAAAGAGAAGAGGTGCATGTGAGCTTTGTGGTGAGAGGACCCTTACCTCCCTTATTTCCTCTTTCTATTATATACCAAGGATTAAAATATCAACATGATACGCCCGACGATATAAGGCATATCGTATCGGTATCGGCCCTACTTGGCACACGACACACTATGATTGGAGGTGTATCCTGCCAGTCGTGTGTATCGGAGCGTATCGGGTCGATACGGGCATGTATCGCCTTGCATTAGTATGTATTAGTCCGATACCGTGCGATACAAACCGATACACGTGAGCTTGTTTATTAAATATTAAAGACAATCGCATGACTCGAACATGAGTCCCCCTAGATGGTAGGCGTATTGAAGGCAACTCGTAAACCATTTAGGTTTACATATAGCATCTAAATAGTACATGTAGTTCAAATAGATAATATATTTGTGTTCAACAAATTTAACTAAAAATTTTAAAGAAAAATATTCAAATTTGATATTTTATAAACCTATGGAATAAATAATCTATCAAATCTACATTAAAACGAAAAGATGATTTTAATCTCTAGAAATTTATGAAAATAAAATATTAATAATAAAATAATTATTTTAATATATAAAATTAAAATATATATATATATATTAAATTATTAATTAATTAATATTTTAATTTACATTACATTAAATAACAATATATTAAATATTTACAAAAATAAAAAATGTTTAAAAAATATTTGAGAGTATAATATTAAATAGAATCTATCAACATTTATACCAAAAAATGATTTTTAATTTTAGAAAAAACTATAGAAACAAAACTATCAATAATGTAATAATTATATTAGTAATTAAAAATTTGCATGTTATATCTTAGAAATTTGATCAGATTTGATATATTTTAAATTGAAATTATATTTTTTATGAATTATTAATTGACTTTTTGTTGACTTTAGTTGACTTTTTGTTAATTTAAAAAATTAAAAATAGTAAAATAGAAAATAATTTATATAATAATTAAAATATAATATGTGCCTATGTTATGTGTCTTAGACTCTTGATTGATGCATTATCAATAAAATTGTGTATGCATCCTAATATATTAATTGTAATATATTTTATCATATATACCATTAAAATGTACATTTCCTTTGTATTTATACATTATTTGTGACTATTTGATTTTAAATTTAGTGTTATTAATATATTTATGAAATTTATATGTGTTTCTCCAACATATCTAAGTGTTTCCATTTTTTTTTCATCTGTATCCATGCGTTTCCATAACGTATCTGTATCCGTATTCGTATCTAAGTTATCTGATACGATACTCGATACCGATACTTTGATCCTTGTTATATACTAGCAGTAAACCCATGCGATGCATAGGAAATGACATAAAAAAGGCTTTGAGGTAAAAATTTGAGACTTCACTTACATTAATTATATAATGCAATCCTAGAAATGAAATTCTTGCATCCCTCATTGCTTTAAGCAATTGACTTTTATCCTAGCAATTACACCTTGTGATACACAATGCAAGCAAACTATCAATCTCTTTCATGAAGAACTAATACATACAAAATGCAGGTTATACTTGGAAAAAGAATTAGGGATCCCATTTACTTATAGACATAAATATAAGGTGTTTTGTTGATGAAATTTTCTTCCTTGCCATTACTGTCATATGATTCAATTGCTTGCATTTCAGTGTATCATTGAAGTAATAAAGACCCAACAAAAAGCAAGAATAGATAAATAGAAGTGTTCAATGAAACTATGATCGACTTATCTCTATCCTTCAAATTGTTATATTTAGGTCTCTCATACTCAACATGAACTGCATATAGATTTCCAATTAATATGCAAATCGTTTTTGCTATTTGGGTTTGGGATGTCAAACAAATGGAGAACCCACTTTGATTGCGAAAGAATGAAATTACAAGAAAGTGAATCAAAAGCTTTCCTTTTATTTGAACAAAGTTGTCCTAGCAATGCTAAAAAATCCATAGTGAAGTACCTCCCATATCATGTTGCTTCCTCCACATGTGTCCCATGGCTCTTTGTTGCCGCTCTTTCCATGTGTGTACTCATTGGAGGCACTGTGTTGCTCTTTCCAATACACATGCCAAATCAGAGATTGTGAAAGTTATCCCTCTCCAACACCCTACATGTCTTTTTTTCATGACAAATCTTGGATGAATGACCTACTCTTTCAAACATTCTAGAATGACAAACATTTTGGAAGAATACCTCTGCTGAAAGTGGTGAATGCCTTCTCCATATAATGTAACCATAAAAGAAGCATTGAGCATTTTGGTTTTGCAAAGGAGAGAGATGAATACAAGACCAAAGGTGTCGCTTCTAAGGAGAGAATTTTGTGCATAAACGTTAGAAAGAGAGGAGCAAGGAAATTAAAGAATTTGTTAATAAGGTTAACTCTAATTTATAATTGAGAAAACGTTAGAAAGAAGGGATCAAGAAAATAAAGGAATATGCTAATAAGGGTAACTCTATACCAAAAACAAATAGAAAGTAACATATATAAAGGGACAGTTTCGATGATTAATAAGGTGGAATTAGTTTATCAAAAGAAGAAAAAAAGAATGGAATTAAAGTAAATGTAATGGATAAGGTGTAAAGGTGGTGGAATTGGGTGCAAGTTGTAATAGAAACACATGGGAAATTATTGTTTTTAATATTTTTAAGCCCTGTGGTGAGAGGACCCTTGGCCTCCACACATTCATCTTTATATTATAATTATATAGATATAGATATACGGTCAACAATGGGTGAAATAAAAAATAAAGTATCGGTCTCCTTCCATCCTTGCCGTGTGCGGTGTGCCAGTAAATTTCAAAACCAACAACCATCACCATGCTTGTACATGGCCATGGCCTGTTCTGATCACACAGAAGACCACCACCCATTTAAGGAACAGGTGGTGTATCCATGTGAAAGTTGAAACCAAATGCCAACCCTCAAGACAAGACCCAAGGTTGCTAGCGCCCAACCAGAAAACGACTTTAGCTGGGTGTCAAGACAAGGACGAATCGCCTTATCCTCTTTGAAGTTGAAGCGTGTTTTGACTAGAAATATACAACAGAGGATGTACAAAGTATGAGACAGATGGAATTTTTACTATGTAATACCGATCCCTGTGCCTTGGCTTCACGTCTAGACGTTCATGCAAAAAATTTAGTACATTCATTTTCCTTTCTCATCGCTCTCTCCTGTTCCAACTCTACTCATCTCTCTCTAACAGGCCTTGTTACATTAATTCAAATTCAACTGGACTGTATTCTGTAGTTCAGTATACCTCAGCTACAACTATGTTAGTGGACGTTAGACCTAGAGAATTTTCATTTGAAAATGTTGGTTGTTAATCCATCTAATAACCCCACTCTTCCTACAATTGAAAGCTGCAAAACCAGAAATCAGATGAAAGTTGTCCATAAATGGGAAAAGAAAAGACAACAACGATAATGTACAAAAATGTTGAGAAAATTGAAGAAAGAAGAAAAAAGCTTGAACAGTACTGACAGTTAAATTAAGCTCCAGTTATGATACAGACATACTTTCATCGATTGTTAGCTTCAGTGGTTATATGCTTCAACCGGTGATTGCAAACCTCTTTTATAGTTCCTCAGTCTGTTAAAGAATTGTATCTGCAGGGGTGAAAAAAAATATATACGTCTTTATGAAATACATGCAGGGAAGCAACAATAAGAAATAGAATGAAGATTAGCGAAGATAGCCATCCAAGTTACATACCTCACAAGATTTGGAAGCATAATGATGAAAAAAATATCCTCCTTGGCACCAAATATGAAGATAAAAATAGACAAGACCAATTGCCAACTAATCAGCTCGCTACCTTTATTGCACTTATCTCATCGATCTTCGAGCTCTTATGCTGAAACAATTCCAGGCAGAGATCAGGATTTTTATTCAAGCAAAGAAGCTACAGAGAAGGAATAGCCTCCTTAAGGAAAATAAAGACCATTGAGTAACAGTAACTGAGAATACCCCACAAGAATCCTGTCTCAATTACCTTACTTTTCTTATGCTTGTGAACATCACTGATATCCTCACTCCCATCATGCTTCCTCTTCTGAAATGGAAAAAAGGCAATAAAATGAATTCATACAAGACTCCTTGGAGACGCTTTAAGTAATTTAAGAGAAACCAAGAATTAAACAATATCCTATTATTCCTATTCTATGAATTTCTGACAATAAATAGAGTGGCAATGGCATATGCTAATATGAGCTTGCAGTTGGAGTGGATGTAATATGAGAGAGAGAGAGAGAGAGAGAGAGAGAGAGAGAGAGAGCCTTCACAAGTGATCACCCATACTTGAAGAGACCAAACTGACATGAGTTCAAGGTCATTTCTTTAGGGCAAAAATTAGCACAAAATTTAATTTGATTTCCCTTCTAGATAAAGCTAACATAACTAATGATTTTCTATATAAACTGAGGATCATTAGAAGTTTAGAATCATGTTTAAAAAGTAGGGGAAGTTTGTCTTAAACAATAATATTTTTAGTTATGTCTTTTTGACAGATAATAATATTTTTAGTTATGTTCTAGTAAACCTGTGATTACCAAAAGGCAAAAAGAAGTCAATAGGAAAGCACACAAGGATTGCACAAATTGAGCATTGTCCTAACCTTTTCATGGTGTTTCTTTGAGTGTTCAGCACCAGAATCATGATGTCCACTTTTATCTTTCTTTTTCTCCTTCTCTTTGTCTTTACTTTTGTCCTTGTGGCGGTGTTTGTGCTTCTTGTGTTCCTTGTCTTTCTCTTTATCCTTGTCCTTGTGTTTTTTATGCTTCTTCTCCTTGTCCTTCGATTCACTTTTTGATTTTCCAGCAATGGTGGGGATCCCCTTTTCAGACTAGCAACCAACAAAACAAACAAATCAGAATATATGAACACACTTATGGAACCATCAACATAAAGTTGAACCATTTCAACTCTGAAGCATCTGCAGATCACAAACTGACAAAGTGAAGCTGGTATTCCAACTAAGAGACTTATCCAATTACACCAAAAACAACAGATCTAAAGTAGCATATTGCAAGGTAATAGATTAGGATTTAGTAAAGTTCTTACAGAAGGAAGATCGATTGGGGCTGTTTCTCTCAGCAGGAATGCTTCTCTCAGGGTATCCAAGTCAAAAGGCTGAATTTGTGCATTTGTATCTCTTACGTATGGGGTGTTCTGGAGAAGCTGCCCCAATTCCATCCCTTCTCCTTTTCTAATCTCTGTGTCTCCTACAACATTGTGGAGATAGTGTGTATCCGAGATTGACAAAGGAAGCGATCTCTTGCAAAAAAACTCATGGTGTACCCCCAATTTATAGTGATATATAAGATCCACAGCACCGGTGAGTTCCCTGGGCCCTGAAGATTAAGAAAAGGGCTTAAATTAAAACTTACAAAACTGAAGGGAAATGGAATACCAAAAAAAGCAGCTGGACCAAAACTCCACTTACAGCCAAAAATTACCTCTTCCGAACTTCTTGCCTTCAGGATCCATCAAAGACACAGAAAAGGCAATCCCATTCCTTAACTGAAATATATAAAAAAAGAACAATTTAATACCTGTTGTCAAGATTTAAATATGCTAATGAAAACTACCAAGATCATGCAGTTGTGGATCATCTACCAAAGTTCATAAGAAAATGAGCTGACAAACAGATGCAAAAGGTTATGAAGCATCAAGAGAGGAATTTATATAATCTAATCTGATTTCTGAAGTTCAGACATAATCCTACTCTTTTTTCTTCACATTGAAAATGGAAACAGTCACTTCTATAGAGCTTTGGTATAGAAGCAGAAGAGATACAATTAAGTGACAAAATGAGAGAAAGTAAAGATGGTTTTGTCATGTGCATAGGAACCAACAGCCCCAGTTAGAAGAAGTGATTTGTTACAAATGTAAGGGGCTAGAAGAGCTAGGGGTAGACCAAAACGGACATGGTAGAAGTAGAAAGAAATGATTTAAACACTAATAATTTTACAGTGGATATGGCTTTAAATAGAACAGATTGGAGAAATAGGATTCATGTAGCCGAAGACAGATCTAATCCAAGTACCCAATCCTCCACCTAATAAAGTTGTCTAAAAGGACTATTCTATCCTTAGAACAAAAAATACATAAAAAAATAAATGGCATTCAACCAAAAAAGACTGCCATACTCCTGCTAATCTTTTAAACATGCAGCCACTAAAAAAGGTCATTTACCTTGTGATTTTCACTTCTCAGGCCTCAACTTTTGGACACATTCCTTTCCACAGGTAATTATGGGATGTTCATTTACCAACTGTTGCAACTCACTATACTACCTAAGCACTCAAAAGACCAGTAAATAATATTTTGTACCCCAATTCTTTATTTATCCATTGGCTCAGTTTGGGAAGAGTACAAATACAAGGTTTTGCACTGTACATAATTGTTTTTGCACCCTTCCCAAATTGAGCCTTTCTAACAACAAATGGATCAAATAATTAATATGAATAAGCATTCCTCATTATAAAATTGGTAGATACATGAGACAAGATACATAAAAAACCTCGGCCTTTATGCTCCTTTGGGACTAAATAATCTCCATACATAAAAAAGAAGGCCAAGGTCTGATCACCTTAGCCTTCTTTTTTGGATAAAAGTTTGATCACCTTAGTTTGGTGTTCCTTTTTTTGATAAATGGAAGTTACATGAGGCAAGATATATATAACACCTTGACCTTGGCCTTAATTCTCCTATGGGACTAAATAATCTCCATACCACTAGTCTGATCACCTTATCTTTTTATTTAGTTTGTTTATTTATTTATTTATTCATTTATTCATTTATTTATCTATCTATTTATTTATTGGTAAATGGTAATGAAAAACGTTATTAAAACGGAGGAAAAACTTCCCTCAAAAGGTAGCAAAAACAAAGATAATTACAGTATGGAGATGATCCCTCAACTCATCAGCTTTTAGTCCTCCTCTTGCACAACAAAAGATGAATAAAAAATGATGCTATTCAATATGCTTTCAAAGAGCTCCTATCTGGATGTTGAAAATTGCTTAAGAATCAAGGTCAATGAACCAAAGATCTCATCTCTCTAATTCCCAATGACAGTTCCCATGGTAAGATGCTTAGATTTGAAAATCCTACTATTCCTTTTTTTACCATATAGACCAGTAAAGTGCAAGAGAAAGAAGGTTCCATAGAATTGCCCCTCTTACACTTAAACTATTCACCTTATATTGATGCCCCATCATCAATATCAGCCAATATTTCAAGGACCAAACCTTCACCCAAGAATTAATCCTCTACAAATGACTAGTCCCAGCCCTACTTCCATAGGGATTGGCCCTAGGTGGAAGAAAGAGTCCTATCTCTCTACCCCGTTTCATTTTAAGGGCTTGTTCATGGCCACATATCACATGGAAATAGTCCACCTACACAGTATCATACATGAGATGCTTAAACAGAGGCCAAGGGGGCTAAAGGGGACCATGATTGGTCCACCGTCCAATGTTTATGTACACTCCCCTCCCCCAACTCATGGGGAATTCCCCGGGCCCACCTTTGTACATCAGTCCATCACAAATATGAAGTGATTATGGATGGAACCTTGTTGTATATTCAGAAATGTAAATGATTGGGAAAATAGTACCTCCACCCATCCACCCATTATTTTGTGGAATATTCAGATAAGGCACAAAGAAATGGATATCCAACAGTCTTGTATATCCATTTCAGTTTCAAGATACAGAGAAAGCTGGAGATATTAAAATTTCCCAACACTTGATAATTAATATTATCTTTGCAACATCTCAATCCCTATTCAATCCTTCTTTTAAGGTTAGAGCACAATTATTTCCTAGTCCTATAAACCTTTCAATAAAACCACATTTGGACCAAATATCAATCAAGTGTACAAGGTTTGTGGGAACAACTTAACTTACCCCAGAGCTCTTTGTTAAAGTCTTTTTATTAAGTCAAACAGAAAGACAAACTCAATATGAAAAACTTGAATATTTATTTAGGATTCTATTTTTGTTTAAATGCTTATTTCCATGTGCTCTGACTTGTAAGTAATATTTTGAAAAAGGAAACCAGTCACTGTAATAAAGAAAAGTTTCTTCCCAGCTTTGTGCACTACTACTCACATGCCTAAGATTTGCATGTCTCCCTTCTTTTGTACACTTTGGACAATAGAACTTAGATGCCTTGTTATCATGGTATGAGTCAAACAATGACTATGAACCATAGTTGTCAAGGCAACGCCTAGGCTACAAGGCGCCCTTGGAGGCTCGCCTTGCCTAATCGCCAAGTAGTTTTCTATAGCGTGTTATAAAAAAAAAACTTTTATATTCGTAATTTTTTTTGAGGTTATAATTATAAAATAGACATTTTTAAACTAAAATATTCATTTTGTGTGGCTTATATACTAATTTCTTTTTATTATTTTCTTATTTGTTAGGGTTTAATCAACACAAACATTGCTAAATGCTGTATTGAACCCTCAAAGACTTCAAAACCTGAACCAATAAGTAAG